TACGGCAATGGGGGAGCTGGTCGACATCCACTTCAACTACATGTGTGCTCTCTACAAAGGGCATATTTTCACTGTCGCTGCACAGCAGGAATCATGTCCAAACCATTAAAAGTCATCCGTATAAGTTGCACTACATAGATGAGCATAGCTAATCGTTACTCACCTGTCCAAGGTAACCTGATGTGACTAACTAGAGGGCGTAACCAGTTGTCAATTTTACTCTAGTAGCCTCGACGCATCAGACGAGGTGTCACCTTACTCCCTTCTTTTGAGACGTGGATTAGTCGATGTTACTCAATTGGCTGATCTTTGGTTGAGCAGTGACTACTTGCTCCAATGTGTGCGAACGCGCCACGGCCTTGTTGCACTGCGCATCTTCAAAGCACACCTCAGGACAGGGAATTGGTGCCATGTGACCTTGAATCTAAATGATTGTCGAGATGATCAATTCCATTGAATTTGACCACATATGGCTCATATGAACAACGAAAGCGTTAGGATAAGCATGTATCGCGGGTTAATCTCATCTCCGGACCATCCAAAATGGAAGACAGCGGTCACCTTTTGCAAGCACTGAATGTCCAGTGATCTGATCTGATCTGATCTATTTCTGGAATCCGTTCGGTTGGGATTTCCGTCGTGGCCTCACACACCCACGAAGTTTCTTCGTAACTATTTGCAGACTCATGGGTGAGCGCATTGTTGATCACGTTTTCTGAATCTACGCGATCAGGGGTCCAAATGACGTTCACAGTGTACGCGGTAGCAAGAACCACAAAGGGAGATACAGTCGATGAAGAGTGTACGTATGCATCGGCTCAAGTGTCTTGTTCTGTTGAAAAGGTCAATGGTTGGATTGCTCTGCACACTGAAGCCTTATCGACTGTATTTCAGTGGTGAGTCTAGCTCTTGTGTTCTTTTTCTAATAGACCGGAGACGGGCATTATGGTGGCTGACTTCGACCCGAAAACAGTGACGATTATACGCATAAATAACAATTTTTAGGCTCGGAATTTGGGAAGCTGTGTTATATGGAACGAACAGTGCGGTAACACACTAGCATTTGGCAAGTGACTGCTTTGTCTCGGAAGGCCACCGTCGGAACGAATACTAACACCCACATGGAAGAGATACGAACATCCGGATCTACAGTGGGTGGCAATATGGGCGAAAGAACTTGTGTGGAAGTTTCTTAACAGACTTCGGTACACTCAACTTGTATATACTTCGTTTCGTTCCTCGCGTTCCATCGGAATACATCAGTTCAGCTTTTCCAAGCCCCTGTCGTAGTTGCAGACTGAACTATCGGCCTTGTTGAGACTGATTTTCTTTCCATAGTCTACAAGCTTTAGGGATACAGTATGGGATGCAACATTGCCTGTAGAGTGTAGACATGAGGGGCGCGCATGTAGTCATAACAATGGCGCATACATGTAATGGTGAAATACGGCTTAGCTTGCAAATGCGTTAGGGAGTTCGAGGAATTTATTTACGGGTTTTTCGGTTATCCGACCTGTCTACAAGCTTGGTATACACAACAGGTCACTGTAGTTACTGAATAACTAGTCGTAGTGGCCAGGAAAAGGTGTGTCTATGTTAATAATGTGTACGTGGCCACTAGTGAACTGACAAAAACAAGATCACTATCCTCTACTTTTTGTCAAAGTGTTCTATTCTTCCTGCGGCATAGCAGCTGAAGTGTATCGCTCACCTTCAACTACCATGCCACGATGATTATGACGCGATGACAGTCCCTTATCCGCTGATCTCCATGGTTTTATGTTGGCTCTGTGTGTAGTTGATATACTGTTGAGATTACTACTACTACCACTGTCCTCTGCACGAGCAATAACCTGCACGGCAGTGGAGGATGAGTCGGCCTATCTCACAGTTTGGTTTCAATTCATAAAGTTCTACTGTCGTCCCCCATGGCTCAGTGGCATAAGCTGCTGACTAGTTGGCGTTAGCCTCTAGTAGTCATGGGTTCGATCCCCAGTAGGGGACCGATGGATGCGCACCATTGACGAGCCCCAATAGGGCGAAACGTGCGTCTGGTGCTTTTCCGGATTGGTAGCATACCTATGCGGCTTGGAAGCTAATTATGATGAACCAACTTAAAAAGCAAGGTCACTCTCGTCTTTGTTCACAGCCATTAGATCGCTACTTGGACTAGCTCGATAACGACCCGTTGGCTGGTAGTGGGTATCCTTTGTTGATATATCACTCACTAAATAGTAGGAGTGAGTCGTTTTAGTTTTGCCAAATATCGCATACCAGACGAGCTGGGAGCGGTGCAACGGATGTGCTCCACTCTGTTTACCAAAGTACCGATTCCCCGACCGGCAGTGACTGGGACCGCCCAACATGTACTCCTCATAAAAGCCTCCACGGGTCACTACATTTATCTCTTAGGAAGAGTTGTGTGGGTCGAAATTTGTGCAAATCTGTCCGAAAAACGTGTCATGCTATCCAATTCTGACAAGGTCATTCATGTGGGTAGGCGAACTGGTTTGATGAAAGCGGCCACCATCAAGGGGAAAGAGCAAACCGAAATCGTTGTTTTTGAACCGAGCACGCAGGACAGAAGACCTAGTCACCTAAGTCTTTCGACACTTTGTATTACTGAGGCAATACAATGCCAGTATACGGGATCGTAATGATTGTCATTCACAATCATCACAGTAACCATAGCTAGACGTTGGTACCAGATGGCTGACCGGTTCAGTAACCCTATTATTGGCTCGCTATATCATGGGCAGACAACCCATGGGTAGGTGAACAAATGATAAGACAACCGTACTATGTGTTACTCAAGCCGCTGCGAGTTCGTATGGTGAATTTACCACCTTTATCATCAGCAGCTTACAACAGGAGTACTGTCTGCGGAAATCAATTTCTGTGGACCAAATGCCGCAGCTTGACAGTAAGAGTGGACCAACCGAGATGGCACCATATGATCTGCATGATGATCAAACTGATTGGCTATGTGTTAGCAATCAAGTATGGGCTTCAGACTGAAGATGGGTTCATACTGCTGTGTTTATTCACCCTATTAAACTTCTGGGCTTCAGGTGATTCTTACTGTGGAGGTGGTCCTAAACCGCAAGTAAGCTGAATGAACTTAGTCAGCAGTTCATTCACCACCGCATAGGAACCACCAATTCGGACAGAGTTATACTGTCGCAGCTGCTGCATTCGAAATGCATCATCAGAAGCCTGAATATCAGGGATGTGCAGATCAACAGTATTCAGCGCTGAGTTATTTGGAGTGCACGCCCTGTGCTCAGATTGCTATACTCGATCTCTGTTGTCTCACGAAGCACACTCCCAGTGGAAACATATTTCTCAACGAAACACTCAATCAACATGCGCGTGGACATTGATTCAATATACGAACCACTACGACAGAAAGAAATACAGAACCTTTTGTCACGCTGTTTAAGGCAGAACAACTCGGGCACCGACTTTGGTCTTGGGGAAAGTGGGTGGAGGTCACGGGACGTAAAATTGACACTGCCACTCTCAGAAGTAACTTGCAGGTCGATCACGGATGGAGGATTCATTCAGTAAGATTACACGTCGCGCCTCATTGCACTGAGGATGCGACCTCGTATGTTGGTGAAACGTTTGCGACAAAACCGCCAAGCTCGGAGAACAAGTGAACAATTGACATATTTCAGCAATTTGAACGCTGGTTTACCAGGCCAACTGAGCTCACTAAATGGGGAGGAGGAATCCTATCGGTAAACATACAAACAGAGGCCACCGTTTTTAAGAATCGATAATTAAAATGCAAGTCGTTCACTACTGCCTTCATACTAGAACGGATTTTAATTGCTTTTATGCACGAACAGCATGTTTCCTATGAGAACATCTCGTTTACGCCGCACAGAATGAGACTGGTTACTCGCTACTGCTGATCCGACAGTAGAGCCACGAAATTTAGTTTTGGCTACATCACTCTCACTGGGATTATCAATGACCATGAGGCCACTAGCGCCCAGACACTTCAGTCCATAAAAGTAACTGATCGAAGAGACACCATTTTGATCTAATTGCTATACGCCGGCGTCCTGGTCCTTGCCTGAACATGATGGACACTGCCTGAGCAGGTGCAACAACATAATCAGCATAACACAGCATAATCACCGAATAAGTGCTAGGGTATGAATGCACAAAGGAAGTCAAATAAGAGTGCGTTGGCAAGTATCTGTGGCAGACGCAGGTTGGGCAACCTATATCACATTGTGAGACGTGAGTGATGCGATAACTAGAGAAGCTAAGAGAATGTCAGTTTAGATCCTCGCAGGAAAATTGATGAGGAATGTAAGTAAATGCGTTTATCCCGCCTAGACGTAGTTGCACGGTAGTTACATTTGTCCTGGTGAACAACACTTTTAATCACGTGATCCGGTGCCATGGTCATTTGGAAAAAGCAGATGAGGATTATTAATTGCAGATACTGGAAGATGGAATGTGAGATAGCTCCTCGAGAACATCATGAACTTGACAGGTCTGGCCAGACGATGGTCAGATGAGCGAATCCGACGATCCCAATGATACAGCACAATTAGTGGAGATACGGCGCGGAATTTTTCCGTCCATGTGAAATAGAACATCGTAGGAGGTCACTGTGGGAGAAATGTGATAGCTAGGCTGACTGCAAGGATCCAGTTTTGAAGCCCGAGGCGTCGTCACCTACCGCATGACTGGCACTCTTTGTCTCTCTAGTGCGCATCATAAGTTTATGCGACCGCGTCCTACCGGAGTTGTCGAAGTGCCAGAGCGACGAACCATAGTGGATAGGTTACCGACTGTCGTCGGACAACCTGCGGGGGGTAGGGGCACAAAAGAACGCCTGCATCGATAGGTTTTAGACTCTGGTTAGTCTGGCGTAATTATAAGCCCATCCTTTTTGCTTTTGTTTTCTTCAGCAAGCGAAGTGTTTAAGCTCTTTCCCTCACCCTCAGTGCAGTATAACTACTTCTTGCTTATCTCAGAACTCGAACTGGACAGGATTGAAGTCAAGTACTCCGTTCTCCTCGGAGATAGAACAATCGAGCACGGCGCACTGGCAGCAACTGCGAGCTACTGATCACGGTAAGTCCCATTGACATAATGCACAATGCGAGGGTGTTAAAAAAACCGAACTTTTGCTTGAACATCTTTATTGCTCAGTACACGATATTTTAATCACTTTCCCCCTTAAAGTAGTCCAATTTGCTGGCAATACACCGTTCCTAGAGGTGCTTCCATTTTTGGGCAGCATTCTGAAATGCATTTTCTGAGATGGCGCGTCAGTCTCTTGTCGCATTGTTCTGAATCTCCTCTGTGGTTTAGAAACCACCTCCTTTTACATTGTAAGTGTTGGAAACATGAAAAAGTCTGCATGGGCTAGGTGCTGAGAATACGGTGGTTGGAGCCCAACGGAAGTGTGGTGTTTTGCTAGAGAGCTGCAAACAAGGAGCGATGCGTGAGCTGGCGCATTGTCATGATGCAACAAGTTCAGACCTCTTCCTGCGCACAGCATGCCTCAAACACGTTAGAATTTGATTACATGATCTAACGCTGATCCTCAGTTTGTCAGCAATGACGATTTCTGAGGATGACAGAAAGACGTCTATGGCCATGCTCATCGTCTGTTGGTGTGGAACGTCGTCCAGGCTTGGGGTCGTCACAGACCGACATTCTACTGTATACAAAATATTTACACTACTCATAGCATTGCGTGCGACTCATACAGTTCTCCCCGTATGCTTGGGATAAGCAATTGAAATGTTTTTGTAAAAGTTTTGCAAAGTTTGTAGATTAACTTCATACACACGCGTTATTCTTCAAACTCTTCTATTGTGACTTTGGCATTAATCCGACGAACAGCCTGCGCATCTGCTCACTTCAACGGCTGTAGCTCGCCAACTAACAGTCAAAGCGAAATGCGGCAAACGGCAGTTTGATGTCTAAGCAAGGCTCCATATGCACTCAATATTCGCATCACGCTCCATCTGCCGGTCTCTATGCTATTGCAAAAGTTCGGTCTTTTTTGTACACCCCTCGTACATCGAGCAACTGAGTTTTGTCTGTTATACAATCGGTCATTAACACCGAAGTTGGGGGACAACGCAGGCGGCACTTGATACAGCAGCTTAACTTGAGACCGTCCGCTAACACCTCGGAGGTTGGGGCAAAAATGACGACTGTTTGGCCGCGTGACACTGGAAGCGTAAAGTACTCCACTTGTAGGTACTCTTCCAATATACATCAGTCTGAACACAGCTGTTGTGACAAGCAACATGAAAGGCAGGGCGTTGAAAGATTTTTATTTACGCTGTAGGGTGGTGTGAAAGTGCAGAGCTTATATTCTTGCATTTATTAAGCCGCACACAAACGCGATCCCGTAGAGAGTCGAAACACGTATCCGAAATCATTAACGTCATTGCAATTTTCGCACACCGCATTTTGCGGACTTGTAGTGGAGGACAGAGCAGTGCAGTAGTCACTGTTGGACACTATTCAACGTTCAAATCCTTGCCCAAGCGCTGTGGATTATTTTTTCTCAGACTACAGTATTGCGCTTACTATCCGAAAGTAATTCGCGCTGCTCTAAGACCTTTCGCAATTGTCGTGGATTCCGACGAATTTTGAAACCAAATCAATGGCGCAAGAATCAATGGAATTGGAACCACAAGTGTTTGTGTACAGCAATTTTGTAAAACCATTCTGCATTTGCTTTGTACCTATGATCGGACCAGCTTAGGTGGGCCGTGTCGCACCAAGTTGCGAATATACCAATTACATGGGTAACCAAAATGTTTTCACGACGGGCCAGGTACCGAAAAAAATGCACGCGCGGGCCCGGTAACTGACAACAAGACCAGCGCGGATCACATAACCATTCCGCACAAAATTTACAAGCCAAAACAGAGGCTCTTAGAAATAGACAGAAAAACGTCACAATCGAGGAGCTGAACAAGAAAAAAAAGTTGAATTACAAACATAAAAATGCAGTTGAAACACCGGAAAAATCAGATGACTATGGGTCATCGTTAGAACCACGGCCCACCAAAATTACACATAAGTTCATTGGTGCCTTCAACAATAAAAAAATAACGAAAACGTCTTCCATATATATGTATATGGCGGCCAAGGACTTGGAAGGCATGAACAAAGTGTTTCCACTGGAATCAAATCATCACACAGTGCTGAAATTGAATGACGATTCTACGTACGTGCCATTATCAATACAAAATTGTACCCGCTTGTAACTCTCTCCAAACAGCCAGCAAATGTGGCTCCAGAGTGACACAAGTACAAAACAACGGTATCTTAATACTGAGCGTTATATTACACGCATCAAGGTAGCTAGCCAAACGAAAACTACGACACAGAGGTGTGGGGCCAACGGAAACACAGTGGGGTGCACGGATGAATGGTTTCCATGCATGATAACTCACACCAACCTTCCAACAGTGTGAGATCGCTGGTATTCCGATAGTACGGTGGCACCTGTAACAACAATGGGCTGTCACACCCCAGTGTATGAGATGAAGTGGTAGATGTGAATTAACAACAACATCTCGTATTACATGAAATTACACCGAAACGCGTCGTGGTTGTGCAGTGTTTTCGGGCGGGGAACACCCAATTTCCATCTAACATCTCGTATCACATGCGCTTTATTAAGCAAAGTCGGATGCAGTCGAGCGAGCTCGATTAACTGAACGCGTTAGTCGGATCCGGCTCACTGGTTATAGTTTAGTAACTCCTGCTCTAGGTTATACGGTCCTACTATCGAAAGGTTTGCATCTTGCTTGTATCATCCCCACTATGACTATCTTATCCCTCGGAGTTAAATTGCTAACAGTTAACTGAACGTGGTGAGACATGGTATAACACAGTCTGACAAAAAGTTGAACAACTCTTTAAGTGGGGTGTCAATTTTTCTCTTGATTGGACTCCCACACATTTAATCCAAGAACTTATATGCTAGCATTGTTAACCACAAAGTTGTCGGTTATTGCTTGCTGGAATGATGGCTTTGAAAATATTGGGACTTGAGAGAGTGGAAGTGC